CTTCTTCACACTTTCAGGTTTGCTCCTCTGTTGGAATGGCTGAGTGAGTTCCTACGGGTATCCTGCAGTAGCAGAGAAGCCCCAGGATGGAAGCTGGGGAGAGAGAGGTATGGTGCAGCCGAGGTTACACTGTGTGCAGCTGATCACCACAGCAAGGGCTGGAGCTAAAAGGTGGGCAGGGGACAGTGTGAAGAGTTGTCCAGGACTAGGAACATTATGAGCCAGTATGTGCACATGAACGGGCTTGACACAAATATGAAACATGACGAAAATTATACTAAGTAAACTTTTGTAAAATGTGTTCATCACACATTCTTATGATAATAATGTCTAAGAAGGCAGTTAGCTAGACGTGAGCAGAAAAAGGGGACATGGGCCAAATGGCAAGAACCCACATGCCTTGCAAACAATGGAGGTCAATGGGGATCCTTGGGCGGATAAAGAAGAGCAGGAATCTCTAGACATATTTTGGGTCGATAAATATCCTGGAGGCAAAGAAAGGTGGGAATCTCCAGCTTCCAAATGTAACCTTTTGTTCATTGTATTCTCATTACAATGGAATTAGCTTGAAGGTAAGAAGTACCCATCATGTACCTACAACGTGACAATTCCAACCAAGACTAAATAAGAACAAAAATTCCTCCACCTCTCAAGAAGGTGGAGCTGGTATGAAAATCAGGGAATATGACTCCCAAAACCTTCCCTCCCCAGTGAATATTTTATCTTTTCATTTCTACATTCCACATAACCAACCTGCCGAAGAAACTCAGGACAGCTGTTCACCTGAGTCTGCCTGCTTTCCCCTAAGAGCATATCACCTATATAAACCCTCATTTTGCTTTCTTGACCTCCTTCTCTTATCTTTGAATTCTTTATGCCATGAGACAAGAACCTACCCTCTGATATCAATAATAACTAATTATACAATTTGTTATTGTTGTTCAGTTCTTCAGTTGTGTCCAACTCTTTGTGACTCCGTGGACTGCAGCACGCCAGACTTTCCTGTCCTTTACCATCTCCCAGAGCTTGCTCAAACTCATGTCCATTGAGCCAGGGATACCATCCAACCATCTCATCCTCTGTCGTCCCCTTCAGCTCCTGCCTTCAATCTTTCCCAGCATCAGGGTCTTTTCCAATGAAGTCGATGCTGCATCTGGTAGCCAAAGTACTGGAACTTCAATTTTTATTACATGCCACACACTACACTGTGTCATTATTATTATTTCATTTAATCCTCAAAACAGTCAAAACAACCTTGAGAGGTAGCCATATCTTCGTGGTTTTTTTTTTTTTTTAATGTGGACCATTTTCAAAGTCTTTACTGAATTTTTTACAGTAGTGTTTCTGTTTTAGGTTTTCATTTTTCAGCTGTGAGGTATGTGAGATCTTAGCTCTCTGACCAGAGATTGAACCCACACCCTGTGCACTGGAAGGCAAAGCCTTTTTTTTGTCTGTTTGTTTGCTCTGGGTCTTCATTGCTGTGACCCAGCTTTTCTCTAGTTGTGATGAGTGGGCACTACTCACTAGTTGCAGGGCTCGGAATTCTTACTGCGGTGGCTTCTCTTGTTCCAGAGCATCAGCTCTAGAGAGGTGGCCCAGCAGTTGTGGCACACGGGCTAAGTTCCCCCGTGGGATCTTCCTGGGCTAAGAATCACATCCATGTCCCCTGCATTGGCAAGTTGGCTCATAAGCACTGGGCCACCGGGGAAGTCCCTCAGTGGTTCTCTATCTAGGGCAATTTACCCTGCAGAAGACATTTGTCAAAATCTATTGACATTTTTGGTTCTCACAGTGACAAGAGATACTGGTGTCTAGTGAGTAGAGGCCAAGATTACTGCTAAACATCCTATAATATAGAGGACAGATCCCCCTCCCCCCAAATAATATGTTATCTGGGCCAAAATGTGAATAGTGCCAAGGTTGAAAAACCCTGGCCTACCTTTATCTCCATTCTACAGTTGAAGAAACTGAGGCTAAATGAGATTAAGTGCATTTTCTTGAGACAGAAAGCTAGTGGGTTGATGGAGTTAAGATATAAATCCTAATCTTTAGGACTCTAAAGTCCGTGTGTGCTTGTAACCATGCTGTGAACTCCCTATTACAGGGAATACACAAGTGCCTTTAAAAATCATATGTGGGGGTCACAGTGTGAATTTGTATATCAGTTATTATAATAATTATAGCAGAGAGGTGAAAATGCAGATAATGATTGGAAACAATATTTCTGATTTCATAATGAGTCAGTATTTGGAAAATTGAATGGATTTGATTGTTTGACATTGTCTGTGATGTTCTCAGTGTTTCTCAATCTTGTTAGTGTTCTCACATCAATACAAGCCAAATTTATCTGAGACAGTCAATTTGGAAAACATGACGTAAAGATTATTTTTATATTCACAAAAAAAGCTCAGATTTTTCAAAAGTAGATTCCTTGCCCAGATTCTGTTCTCCACCTGCCCTACTTTTTAACATGCTGTTTATGATCATTCACAACTTTCAGACTCATTCATTTTCAGAGAAACATATTTATTACAGTGGCTTCACTGAGCCAAGTCCAGACTGGTCATCTCTGTCCAAGGTTACTTGGACAGGTTACTATACCTCTTGCACTGCCAGCCCTCAGGGCTAATGGTTTCCCAAGACAACTGAATAAAAGAATATTCTGATGTGAAATATATAAATAAATAATTTCAATAAACAGTCTATACAATAAGCAGTCTATAACCTCTGCACAAGCTTTCAATACATTCATAGATGTATTTAATAAAGTTCTACACATATTCATGATTAAAGTAATCTTTGAAAATTAGGATTAGAAGAGTAGTTTCCTTAAAATATGAAAGACTATAAACCTGATATTTATGACAAACTCAGAATGGAAACATTTCAGAGATAGTCTCCTTAAAGTCAGGAAGAAAACAATATCATCTGCCACAGTCACTTTCAATACTATGCAGGAAAACTTGATCAACATGGTAAGACAAATAAAAGAAGAATAAGAAGGGATGAGACAAAATTACTATTATTTGTAGATGACATGATCATCTAAATGCAAGCTTAGTGAAATCAAAGGACAAGCTATATGAACTAAGGAGTTCAGCAAATCTGATACCAACTTACAAAAATCAATATCCTGTATCTACATTAATAATAACCAAATAGAGAGTATAATAAAAAAAGAAGCTTCAAACTACTAATAAGACTATGTTTCCATAAGTTAAATAATATACAAGGCTTTTGTGACAAAGTTAAATTTTATTAAAGGATATAAAGAGATACTTAAATAAATGAAGAAACTTAACACTTCAAGAGTGACAGTTCTTCTGAAACTAATTTCTATATTCCATACAGTGCCCAATGGAAATTAATCAGGAATTTTAAAGAAGCCTGACAAACTTATTTTAAAAACTTATATGGAAGAATACAGTTTGCAAAAAATAAATCAATCAAAAAAATCAAAGAATAGACTTTCCCCACCAGATTTTAGGAGTACTATAAAGAAACAACAATTAAAAGAGGTAAAGTACTGCGACTTCCCTGGCGGCCTGGTGGTTAAGATTCTGTGCTTCCACTGCAGGGACTGCAGGTCGACCCCTCCTTGGGGTACTAAGATCCCACATGCCATGCAGTGTGGCCAAAAAATAAAAATAAGTAAATGCTAAAGTCATTAAAATTATTTTAAAGGAATAAAGTATTGATTCTGAGCAGATATAAACAAGTAGAATAGAAACGGAAGACACAAAATCAGATCCAGATACATATGGGAATTTGCTATTTCTTGACAACGCCTCCAGAAACCATTACGTAAATTTAATAGATGATGTTAAGAGTAAACAGCTTACCAAAGTGATATAAAGTTAGATCCCTACCTCACATCATACATATCATATAAATATATATTTATATGTATATATATGAATAAACTCTTAAAGGATACAAGGTAGCTTATATGAATAGAAAACATAAAATTAATAAATGTCATATGAAATCGAAAGAAATGAAAGTGTTAGTCCCTCAGTCATGTCCGACTCTTCGTGACCCCATGGACTGTCCATGGCATTTTCCAGGCAAGAATAGTGGAGTGGGTTGCCATTCCCTTCTCCAAGGTATATTCTCAATCCAGGGATCAAACCCAGGTCTCTTGCATTGCAGGCAGATCCTTTACCATCTGAGCTACCAGGGAAATACAATGTCCTATGAAGTCCTTGTAAATTCAGGGCAGGGAAAATTTTCTTTCAAGAAAACCTCAAAAGCACAAACAATAAAACAGAACATTAGTAGATTTGACTATATCGAAATTAAGACTTGATTAGATAAAGAACTTCATAGTTAAAATTAACAAGTGATAAATCAAGAGCAGGTATTTGCTATGTTATGAAAAAAAATTCTTTCAAATGACAAGAAAAACACGAGAAGTACAATTTAAAGCAGCCAAGAATATAAACAGGCAATTCACAGAACAACAACAGAAAAACCCTCACATCTATCACACAGATGAAGATATGGCTACCATTTTTTTTAAAGCTTTCCTGCACATTTTTATATTAATTTAATTTTAAATGAATCCTCCCAATGCCCCAGTAGATGAATCAGATATTTCTCAGAAACAACACTGACATGACATATTCGAAAACATCCAGAAGCCAGGAGAAGTGAGCAGATAACACAGACAAAAAAGTGTGATGCAACCTTATATACACATCTGATGGGCAAAAACTAGAAAGCTGGATAAATTTCTAGTTCTAAATCTCTGGGGGGGGGGGGGGGGTGCGGATGCAAAGAAAATCTGGAGGCAGCCTCCCACCCACTACTGCCCAGGCGGTGCCCCCGCCCCCGCCGCGGGAAGACTGCGGGCTAAGAGCCCGGCTCCACCCACCCGGGAGCCGGGCCTCGATTCTGCGGAGATCCACCTCCTCCGCCCCTGTAGGCGCTGTGCCTTTCGGGTGCCAGTGAAGAAGCGCCCTCAGTGAGACTTGGCGGCCTCTGGGCTCCGCGGCGACATGAGCGGCCGCGCCCGCGTGAGGGCGCGGGGCATGGCCCGCAGCCCGGGCGCCGCGGAGGTGGGGCGCGCCCAGGGGCATCCGTCGGTGTGTAGGCTGCTTAGCAGCTGCGCTGTCTCCCTCCTACCGCTCCTTCGTGGACACGGCCTTTCTCTGCACATCTCTTTTCCTCTCTGCTAGAAAGCAGCGACTTCTCTTTCAACTTTGAGTCTTTCCAGGGTTTCTCATATTCATATATATATTTATTTCCCGTTGGGGGGCTTATCCGAGTAAGATATTAATGTAGGTGTTTGGCTGCTGAAAAGGACTGAAAGTGGGAGACAAGTGGATCACTCTTTAATGTTTTCTGAGTTTTAATTACTCCATTCGTTTGTAAGTCTCCTGGTGAAAAGGACTGTACCTTTAAAGGTACTATTATTTGGTATGTAACTTAATATGATCCATGTTGCTAATTTATATAAAAAGAAATAATTTCAAACACAAGTGAAATTTAGAATCAACCGCTGTGCATAGGTCTCCTTATTAAACTTAGACAGCAAGGTTGAATCGAGAAGCAAATCTCCAATTTCTGAGTGATGTTACACTTAGTATTTGGAGCAATACTTAGCAAAAACTTAGTATTTGGAGTAATATCTTAGACCAGAAGTGTTACGTGAGTAGTGTGTCGTCATTATGCCTTTACTCTCATAAAGAGACCTGTTGATTTTCCCCATTTCTTAAAAAAAAAAATCAAGCCTCTTCAACAGGGAATTACTGTGAAGAGAAAATGTTAATGGTTCTCTTCATCTGTTTTGTGAACTAATTTTGGACCAGTTTTTTCAGGAGCCTCATCATCTGGCTGGTGGCCCAGATCCTCTGGGCTCAGTTTATTTTCTTGTATAAACTTGTTCACATCAGAGTCCCTATGTCTGAGAGCTACAGAAGCATAAGGTCTGTGATCATCTGTATGTCTGTTAGTCGCTTTAGTCGTGGCCAACCCTGTGTGATCCCGTGGACTATAGCCCAACAGGGTCCTCTGTCCATGGATTTCTCCAGGCAAGAACACTGGAGTGGGTTGCCAGTTCCTTCTCCAGGGATTGAACCTGTGTCTCCTGCATTGTAGGCAAATTCTTTATCGTCTGTCACCAGGAAGCTTGTGACCAACTGTACCACCTTGCATTTGATGACCTTCTTAGAGAAGGAAATGGCAACCCACTCCAATATTCTTGCCTGGGAAAATCCCATGGACAGAGGAGCCTGGTAGGCTACAGTCCATGGGGTCGCAAAGAGTCGGACAAGACTGAGAGACTTCACTTTTGGGGCCAAGGCTCACACCTTTGCCTCCGTGGGCTAAAGGCTGTATCTGGCTCACAGCATTGAAATCAAAGATTTATGAATGGGGAACACTAGCTTGGCCTTATCTATTTTTCTAAAATGGGCAATCTTTCCTCCTCTTTCAAGCATCTTACCTGCTAACATTTTCTTTTCCTAGCTCTTGGTACTCTAATGACACAGGACATGATTTCCATTCTCCTCATCTCGTGATAATGTTTTGGTTTATGACTTAATGTCTTAAATCTGACCAAATACCTTTACTCATTTCAGCCTCCATCTGTTGCACTTATTGATAACGAAGCATCCTCTAGCAGTGACTGTGATAGAACAAGCAGGATTTCACAGAAATGTAAGTGCAGCTCCATTCGGTTGCATCCCATCTGAATGAAATAGAGTGACTCGACCAGGCCTTTGAGCAGCAGACTCACTTCTTTTTTTTTTCTCATTGATTTTAAAATGTACATTCTTTATATTTTGACATTATTATAAGATGTCATAATTGATAATGTCTTATAGTTGTTATTGGCCAGGGAACAGTCTTTTTTTTTTCTGCAATCTATTTTATTTTATTTTTTCATTAATTTTTATTAGTTGGAGGCTAATTACAATATTGTAGTGGGTTTTGTCATACATTGATGTGAATCAGCCATGGATTTACATGTGTTCCCCATCCCGATCCCCCCTCCCACCTCCCTCTCCACCCGATCCCTCTGGGTCTTCCCAGTGCACCAGGCCC